ATCATGCAATCACTGAGGCATTTTCTTTAAGAATGTTGCCATATGTTTTAATATGAGTATACTTTATCTGTTTTTGCTTAAGTGACAGTCATAGGCGCTTTATAATGAGCAGACCTCTGAAATGTGTCTTCCTAAATTCTATCTCACTTTACTATTTCATTGATATCAAAAGATGTCCATTTCATGGTAATTATATACATTACTTATGGAAATTCCACAAGAGTCCAAGGTCATTATCACTATTTTTATTTCCCAAACTAAAGCCATAAAGATGATAATGGCAATTTTTGTCCTCTTAGCTAATCCAGAGCCATCTACCTTATATTTAGAAGACAGCTGTATGGGAAGGTAATTTGTAGAAAATGTCCAAAGAATCTATTTATTTGATCTCTGCATATCCTCATTAATCGGACTCATACTTGAACTGGTCAACTAGTTTATCACAGACCAAATATATGCTCTCAGAGTTGAAATGCTACTGCAGCCAATGATGCAATGCAATGATAGATGAGAAAAAAGTTACTATTTATGAAGTACCTGTTGTATCCTCTCTACTAGATCTTTACAAGTATTATTTTTGATCTTTACAACAACTATTCAGAGTACGTGTTATTAGCTTCATTTTGCAGATAAAAATACTGAGACTCAGAGAAATCAAAGAACTTGCCACTCATTTAGCATGTGACTGAGCTGGGATTAGAGCTAATAAAGTCTCTCTACCTCTAGAATTCAGATGCTCATGTTCATGCTCTCATGTGACCTCAGAGAACTGTAAATTCTGTCAAGACCTCTGTATTATATCAACCTTAAAAACACATTTTACTTCTCAGATCCTAAAATCATGTATTGTTTCCCAGAGATTATCTTTCCTTTAAGAAATAGCTGTTTGTTATTAGAAACAGTTAACCTCATTAGATCTTCAAAATGAAAAAAATAATTCATAGTATTTATGGAGTTAGTCAAATGCCCGTGTCTAGTATTAGAATGTCAGAGCACCCAGCGGGTTATGGAACTTAGGCTTTCAGACAGTTACTCAGGAGGTTTCACACTCTGAGGATTAGCCTTCTTGCTGCAGTGGATGTGCAAGGTAAGAAAGGTGTCGTGGATCACTTTGTAAGATCACATCAGTGCTACAGATAAATTTAAAAATTTCATAAATAAAACTGGAAGCCTTTTTATACTACTGGAACTAGGAGAATCTGTCGTGAAATTGAACTAATTACCAGCAGTATCAGTATGGGATTTAGGGCCTCCCTTAGTTCATTTGTGTGTCCCCCACAGTACCAAACAGAAAAGATTAAGTATTTATTGTATTGAATTCTATTCAGGGCTTAAAAGATATTTGCAAATTCCAGGGAAGTAGAAGGAAAAATAGAAAAATGTACAGCTACTTTTATGAATGTGAGATCTTAAGTGTGTGTGTCATAGATTTCACATTAAATATTGACTTAAGCATTCTGAACATTTTCTTCTAATTTATCATGCATAGTGGATTAACTGTTATCACCTCTGAGTTGTGAGAATTGAAGTTAATTAATATAAAGAATATGGCACATAAGAAAAGACTTAATAAATGTTCATTGTTTTCACTTACTTCCTACCTTGAGCCGTTTGTTTCCCCACCTCATGTTTGTGAGAAGGTTAACATGGATGAGGCTGATAATGATGAGTTAACATTTCACTTGGTTGGCATATAAGAAGAAATCTCTGCTTTCCTTACCAGTCTAGGTTGTAGCACGCAAAAGAGAATATAGAGGTGACCTGCGTTTGGGACCTTCTAAAAAGAAATCTAAATACTAATTCCTTACCATTACTTGTGAGGTCAGTGAAAAGGGAAATTGAGGTGTTTGCAAAGACCCAACAAGTCATTTCCCTCAAATGGGATTTTCATCTTGCTACGCTAAATAATATATTATTTCCTGTTTACAGCAAGCTGTGCTGATTGAATTGTCTAGTTGAATGAAATCACCTCTTTGCCTATAGCAGAAATAAAGCTGAGTTCTCAGAGCTGGATGAAAATACAGTGCTATTTACTTTCTGAGATCCAAAGGGGAGAATCAAGCCAGGTAATATTCTCCTGAATATATTTGTCTATTTAAAGTGTATGCTTTCCCCATATTTCTTTAGAAATTATCAGATATCAATATCATTAACTTTCATTAAGTTTTTATTATGAGGGAATGTTAATTCAAATGAAAGACACTAAAAGCCTATAGATTTTCAGATTAAACTTCTAGTTGTGTAAACTGTATTGAGCACTTAAAGAATGCTGACATTTAAAGTAAATAGGAATTTAATGAATATTTTAAAACATTACTGAGAATAATTTCCCTAGAAACTTAAATAATAATACTAAAAAATAAAATTTTATTCAGAAATGAAGTTTCATAATAACCAAGAAAATAAGTGACAAATAAAAAGAAACAATATGGCATTTTAGATCAGTAGGAGGTTAAAATTTTCTTAATGTAAGAAAATAAGAACTGTTCAGGGATAACAATATTCCAGTGGTTTGTATTGTACCACATTTTGGTTAGTAGTTCATTTATTGTTTTATATAGTATTGAAACTGATATTTTTCATGTTGCCAAAGCAGTACCTGATAGTAGTTAGGTGTCCAAAGGTATATGTACCTTAGAGTGATATAACTGTGAATCTGAAAGGAATTTTAATAAGCCTGGCCCAGACTTATTTCTAAATTGAAGAAACTGATTTCCAAAGCCTCTGACTTGCTCAGGCTCACACAAATGACTAAGAAATCTAGAGTGACAACTCAGGTATCAGGTTTCCCAGCTGTAGACTGTCCACCATTCCACAATTTTGATAATCTGATAAAAGTTTTGCACTAACTCTTGTAACTGTGATTATTATTAATGTCATTGATTTTTATCCTCTCAGATGTGCCCTTGCTCTTTCACGGCCTTCTCCATAACTGTCCACCAGATCAGAGCTGTTTGTGCACCTACACTGTCACTGAAAATGTGGGGGAATACTGACATTTTTAAAATCCTGAGTCATGGGCTAAGATACAGTAGAGAAAAAGAATTTTACAAAATAGGAGAAATTGATGTTTGTCAAAATAGCTCCCAAGAATAAACTAAAACAGAAAACACATTTTCCTGATTTAATTTTGACTCTACTTTCAATAGTGCTCTATTAAAAAGTATTTAAACCCATATGCCTCCATTCTACACAAAGCAAAGGTACTATCAATTATCCTGCTTCCTAGGTACATTGGCTGACAGAAATAATGAATACTATGTAACATTTAACTGAAGACTTCTCTGAATTCTTTTTACTTTAAAATTTCCTGTGATTTGGTTATTTTGAAACATGTGTTACATATAGTTGTATAATGTTAACTTGTGTCAACTAAATCCTTGGTATTGGATTTAGGATGTTTTAAGAATTATTTTAGGAGATGTGTTTAATGTCTGCTTTTTAGTAGCATATTTTCATGTAAGGTTTAATTAAAGTGAACCATACAAGATTTATTTTATTGGGTGATATTATTTATTGACTGTGCCCAAATGTATTTCATAATGATAGAAAATATGGCATGAGTTATATTTGTGGGCTAAAGGTGAAATAATCATTTTGTTGATATATCTTATTAAAAATCACTGAAAATTTGGATATAAAACTTTTTTACTTAAAACACTACACAAATTACAAAGGTAATGTAAGTATATAATTATTAATAACTAGAAAATGCAAATAGCAAAAATTACCCACATTGTCTTTTCCCAAAGACAATCATAATTATTTTGTTTTCTTCCAGTTTTTATTTTCTAGTTCATTTTCCTCCATACATGAAATTAAGCTGTCAATAATGTAGAGGTACAGTTCCCTCTCTTTTCTCCTCTAATTTTCTCTGTGTCTCTATTGCTCTACCATGCTGCTATATGTCTGTATACATATGTGTGTAAAGGTATGTGTGTATATTATATAAAATACAACACATGCACATACATGCATATATTCAAACATACATATTTTTATTCTTTAAAAATGAGATCAAACTACATATTTGGTAACCAGATTTTTTTCCACTCAACAGTATATAATGAACATATTTCCATGTTATTACACCTTTCAAATAATCTTTGATGCAACTACAATTTATTTAACCTATTTTTGAGCAATTTGTTTCCTTAAGAATGTTGACTATAATAAGTAATAATACAGTCAACATTCTTGTAGTCAATAGCCTTGTTATTAGTGATGGTAGACCTCATTAAATTTGTGAAATGAAAAAATAATTCAGAATATTTAAGGAGTTAGTCAAACGCCTGTATCTAGTATTAAAATGTCAAAACATCCAGTGGGTTATGGAACTTAGGCTTTGAGACAGTCACTCAGGAGGTTTCACACTCTGAGGATTAGCCTTCTTGCTGCAGTGCATGTACAAGTTGAGAAAAGTGTCATGGATCGCTTTGTAAGATCACATCAGTGCTACAGATAAATTTCATAAGTAAAGCTAGGAACAGATTCATACTGCCAGGACTATAAGACATGGAATGGGAGTTTAATGGGTACAGAATTTCAGTTTTGCAAGATACGAAGAGTTCTGGAGATTGTTTGCACAACCATGTGAATATCCTCCAAATTATGTAACTGTACACTTAAAAAGTGATTGCATTATGTTGGGAAAGCTTATGTATATTCTAATATTTACAGTTAAATAGATTGAGCCCTATCAAGAAAACTCTCTTCTTTTTTCTTGGTGTACTTCTTATTTTTTTACTTTTTTTTTTTTTTTTTTTTTTTTTCCGGTACGTGGGCCTCTCACCGCTGCGGCCCCTCCCACTGCGGAGCACAGGCTCCGGACGCGCAGGCTCAGCGGCCATGGCCCACGGGCCCAGCTGCTCCGCGGCACGTGGGATCCTCCCGGAACGGGGCACGAACCCACGTACCCTGGATCAGCAGGCGGATTCTCAACCACTGCGCCACCAGGGAAGCCCTTGGTGTACTCCTTTTAAGCAACAACAATGAAAAAGAAAAAAAGGAAGAAAGAGAGGAAGGAAGGGGAAGAAAGGAAAGAAAAAGAAAGAAAGGAAAGAGAGAGAAAGGAAGAAAGAAAGAAAAGGAAAGAGGGGAGCCAGACTAGGGCTCACTGGCTCATTCAGTCTTAAGCAGTGGTCCCCAACCTTTTTGGCACCAGGGACTGGTTTTGGGGAAGACAATTTTTCCACGGACTGGGGGCGGAGATGGGGATGGTTCAGGTGGTAATGCGAGCGATGGGGAGCAGCAGATGAAGCTTTGCTCGCTCACTGGTCACCTCCTGCTGTACGGCCCAGTTCCTAACAGGCCACTGACAAATACCTGTCTGCAGCCCAGGAGTTGGGGACCTCTGGTTTAAAGAATGAATCCTGAGTAGAATTATTTTTTTAACTAGGGCTGAAATTCAGATATGCCCAAGTGTGGATGCTGAATCCAGACCCTGCAGCTGTGCCTCGACCCTGATGAGTGGAGGGAGTGGTCACTCTGTAGCTACTTGTTTCTCAGTAGATCTAGAGCTCAGAGTTACACTTCTAAAGCTTGTGATTGTGATCTCCACAAATGCTACCAGATGTTGATTGTTCCATATCAAAACTGTTAGTTCATCAAGTGGTGAACAAGCTGCCATATGCCAGACTCTTTTATGAAGCTTTTGGGATATGGCAGTAATAGACAGACACGGGAACTTATATGCAAGTTGGGAGGAGACAAACAGAAATCACTGAACAAAAAACAAAATAATTTTAGTCTCTGATAAATTCTGTGAAGAAGTTAAAATAATTTAATGTGATAAAGCATGACTGGGATCTAGAAGATTTTTAGCAATTTTTTTTTAGCAATAAGAATAGAGGAGGCATCTCTGAAGAAACAATATTTGAGTTGTGACCTGAAATGATGAGAAGACAACCCCAGGATGACTGTTGGAAGAATGGTCCAAGCAGAGGGCACACTGAGTGCGAAGGCTTTGAGGAGGAAAAAAGCCAACATTGCTTGGTGATGAACAAGGAGCAGAGAGTAAGGAAATGAAGCCAGAAAGGTACGTAGGCTCTAGCATATAAAAAGAGTTAGAAGCCGTTTTAAGGAGTCTGAATTTAATTCCAAGTGCAATGGGAAGGTTTTAGTTTGGGACCTAAATGATCTGACATGTACTTTAAAAAGCTCCCTCAGGCTCCTGTGTGGGGGATAGCTTGTTGGAAGATTTCTTTCCTGTCCTGGTAGAGATTGATGGAGACTTGGTCTGGGGTTGTAGCAGTGGAGGTAATAAGAAGTGGTTGGATTTAAGATACAGTTGGATGGTAGAAAAATAGACTTTTCTAATGGACTGAGTAGGAGATATGAAGGATAGAGAAAAGTCAACAGCGACTTCAGGGTTTCATCATAGCCTGAGCCAATGGATGGGTGGTGATGCCTTATATTCAGATAAGCATGAAGGTGAAAGATTTTGGGGTGTGAGGGGTGGTGATAGATTTGAGGGAATTGGTCCTAGACATTTCAGAGCCTAGTGAAGAGATTAGGGGAAAGAGATGCTGATTGACCTGAGTATATGTCTGACCCTGCTTGCTCCTTAATTAATGTATACCTACAAAACCCCATGACACAGTTTCATTCAAGGGGCACTTCAAGCCTGGGCCATGATGTTTACCAGGATGCAGTCACGTCTTATGACAACCAATGCCTGGTATTAAGCCCAATCACACACAAGTCCAATGACCACTTCCCTTGCTGTTTGGTGAGTCTTTTCTGCCTTCTCCCACCATATTTAGTAGGGGCTACTTCAGTATATCATGTCCAGGGGTAATGGTAACAAAAGAGATTTCTCTGTGTTTTTACTTCTGGGAAGTTGCTTGCCCCATGTGACCTTTTTTTCACTCTTTTTCCAGCAACTTTCTAATTTTGCATATCAATAAATATATGGGAAGATCAATGTTTGTCAAGCAAAACACAAACTTAATATTCTATTCCAGAGCTAACAGCTGATAGATTCACAAAATACTGAATTCACAAGTGTTTTATTGTGATTTATAATAAGAAAAATACATACATATGTAAGTATATATATATTTATATATATAATATATACATTTTTATATATACATATATATATATATATGTATATGTATAGGTCTTCATCCCCATTTCTGGCACAGAGCTCCTAAAACCCTTGGAATTTTCTAATAAGTGATGACAGCAACATAGATGTCTTGTGTTATGGTAATGAGGTCACTTTTGGAAAGCCCTTAGGTAACTTAAGGATGGAGGCTGGTTGCCAGGAGACCCAACTATGTGATTGGAGAATTGGAACTTTCAGTCCTACCCCCTAACCTCTGGGGAAGGGAAAGTGGTTGGAGGTTGAATCAATTGACTATGTCTGATAATTTAATCAATCATGTTTATGTAATGAAACCTCCATAAAACCTCAAAAGGACGGGTTCAGAGTGCTTCAGGGTTGGTGAACACGTGGAAATTTGGAGAGAGTAGCATGCCTGGAGAGGGCATGGAAGCTCTGTGCCCTTACCCATATCTTTCCCTATGTATCTCTTGCATCTAGCAGTTCCTTAATTATATATTTTTATAATAAACCAGTAATCTAGTGAGTAAAATGTTTATCCAAGTTCTGTGAAAACTCTAGCAAATTAAACCAACCCAAGAAGGGGGTCATGGGAACCTTCAATCTGCAGCCCCATTGGTCAGAAGCACAGGTGATAACCTGGGCTTGTGATTGGCATCTGAACTGGGGTGGGGGACTGGGGTGTGAACACAACACAATCTTGAGGAACTGAGCCCTTATATTGTCAGAATGGAGTTGAATTGTAGACACCCAACTTGTGTCACAGAATTGCTTATTGGTGGTGTGGGAAAACCTCCACACATCGGAATCTGAGTGCAGAACCCACTTAACCAGTTACAAAAAAGTATACAGTAAAAAATAAGTCTACTGTTCTCAGCCCCTGGTATCCCTTTCCAGAAAGCAACTGTCATTAATAGTTTTTTGTTTGTCCTTCCAAAGATGTCGCATATATTAAAAGTATATAATTATTTGTTCTCTTAACCCCTTCAAATGATAGTATACTACATGTACTATTCTGCACATTGCTTATATCTTGGAAAACTTCCCAGATTAATGCATATAGAATTACCCTGTTCTTATTTATAGCTCCATGCTATTACATTACATGGATATTTGATAGTGTATTCAAACAGTTCCCTTTTGAAAGACAATTTCTTTCCAATCCTTTGGTATTACAGTGTCAAGTAATAGATCAGCTATACAGTAATTTTAACACTAACATGCTATTTTACTCGTATACAGGGGAAACCAAGCAATAGATTGATTTCATCTAAAAATGAAAGAAAAAAAAAGCCAACAGGAATTATATAAGAGGAAAGAAAAAAAGGCAAAAGGAAGAAGAAAAATGTGCTGACAATGTGTATATGTGACCTGTATTTTTCTATCCTTAGGTAAGCTGCTGACTACCTGGCAGTGCTCAGAGGCCAGTTGGGGTATTCTGCCTTGGACCATCTGGATAGATCATTAGAGAAAACAATTTCAGTTGGTTACAGAGTCTTTGAAAAACCTTGAGATTGGAATCAATAAAGTATATCTGAAAGGCTGTCCCAGGAAAATCATTTTCTGTGTCTCTGGTTAGCAGTTTACCTTATTCAAGCCAGGACTGCACCGTTTCCCTCATTGGATTTCCTCACAAAAATACTGCAGGGAAGAATTTTGTACATGTGATTTTACATGTGGAAAAGTATAATGGTAGCATCAACGCTGACAACTGGATTGCTGGATTGAAAGATATGTGCATTTTAACTATGAGAGATGTTACCATACTGGCCTACACAATATACCGTCAACTTTTTCCTCTTTACCTCCAACTCACATTTAATTTCTAGTATTTCAATACACACTGACTTGATTTAGAACACAAGAATATTTCAAATTTTACCAAAAAACTTAATTGCTCTTATTTTTCTTAAAACATGGAGCCATTTCTTTTTGTATTTTGTAAATAGATATTTATTGGAGTTATAATTGCTTCACAATACCATGTTAGTTTCTGTTGCACAACAAAGCAAATCAGCCATATGCATACACATATCCCCATATCCCCTCCCTCTTGAGCTTTCCTCCCATCCTCCCTATCCCACCCCTGTATGTCATCACAAAGCACTGAGCCAATCTCCTTGCGCTATGCTGCTGCTTCCCACCAGCCAACTATTTTACATTCAGTAGTGTATATATGTCGATGCTACTTTCACTTCACCCCAGCGTCACCCTCCCACCCCATGTCATCAAGTCCATTCTCTATGTCTACGTCTTTATTCCTGCCCTGAAACTAGGTGCATTGTACCATTTTTTTTTTACATTCCATATATATGCTTTTGCATAAGGTATTTATTTTTCTCTTGACTTACTTCACTCTGTATGACAGACTCTAGGTCCATCCACTTCACTACAAATAACTCAATTTCATTTCATTTTATGGCTGAGTAATATTCCATTGTATATATGTGCCACATCTTTTTTATCCATTCATCTGTCAGTGGACATTTAGGTTGGTTCCATGTCCTGGCTGTTGTAAATAGTGCTGCAAGGAACATTGTGGTGCATGTCTCTTTCTGAATTATGGTTTTCTCAGGGTATATGCCCAGTAGTGGGATTGCTGGGTCATATGGTAGTTCTACTTTTAGTTTTTTAAGGAAGCTCCATACTGTTTTCCATAGTGTTTGTATCAATTTACATTCCCACTGACAGTGTAGGAGGGTTCCCTTTTCACCACACCCTTTCCAGCATTTATTGTTTCCAGGTTTTTTCATAATGACCATTCTGACCAGGGTGAGGTGATATCTCATTATAGTTTTGATTTGCATTTCTCTAATAATTAGTGATGTTGAGCGTCTTTTCATGTGCCTCTTGGCCATCTGTATGTCTTCCTTGGTGAAATGTCTATTTAGGTCTTCCACCCATTTTTTAACTGGATTGTTTGTTTTTTTTTTTTAGATTTAGCTGCATGAGCTGTTTGTATATTTTGGAGATTAATCCTTTGTCTATTGTTTCATTTGCAAATATTTTCTCCCGTTCGGAGGGTTGTCTTTTTTTTTCTTCTTCTTCTTTTTGGTACGCAGGCCTCTCACTGTTGTGGCCTTTCCCGTTGTAGAGCACAGGCTCGGACGCGCAGGCTCAGCGGCCATGGCTCACGGGCCCAGCTGCTCTGCAGCATGTGGGATTTTCCCGGTCTGGGGCACAAACCCGCGTCCCCTGCATCGGCAGGCAGACTCTCAACCACTGCGCCACCAGGGAAGCCCCGGAGGGTTGTCTTTTGTCTTCTTTATGGTTTCCTTTGCTGTGCAAAAGCTTTTAAGTTTACTTAAGTCCCATTTGTTTATTTTTGTTTTTATTTCTGTTAATCAAGGAGGTGGGGTCAAACAAGATCTTGCTGTGGTTTATGTCAAAGAGTGTTTTTCCTAAGTTTTCCTCTAACAGTTTTATAATGTCTGGTCTTACATTTAAGTCCTTAATCCATTTGGAGTTTATTTTTGTATATGGTGTTGGGTAGTGTTCTAATTTCATTCTTTTACATGTAGCTATCCAGTTTTCCCAGCACCACTTATTGAAGAGGCTCTTTTCTCCATTGTATGTTCTTGCCTCCTTTGTCATAAATTAGATGCCTATATGTGCATGGGGTTATCACGGGGCATTCTACCCTGTACCACTCATCTATATTTCTGTTTTTGTGCCAATACTATACTGTCTTGATTACTGTAGCTTTGTGCTGTAGTTTGAAGTCAGGGAGCCTGATTCCTCCAACTCAGTTTTTCTTTCTCAAGATTGCTTTGGCTATTCAGGGTCTTTTGTGTCTCCATACGAATTGTAAGATTTTTTGTTCTAATTCTGTGAAGAATGCTATTGGTAATTTGATAGGGATTGCATTGAACCTGTAGATTGCTTTGGGTAGTATAGTCATTTTCACAATATTGATTCTTCCAATCCAAGACCATGGTATATTTCTCCATCTGTTTATGTCATCTTTGATTTCTTTCATAAGTGTTTTATAGTTTTCTGAGTACAAGTCTTTCACCTCCTTAGGCAGGTTTATTCCTAGGTATTTTATTCTTTTTGTTGCAATGGTAAACGTGAGTGTTTCCTTAATTTCTCTTTCTGATTTTTCATTGTTGGTATATAGGAATGCCAGAGATTTCTGTGCATTAATTTTGTATCCTGCAACCTTACTAAATTCATTGATTAGTTCTAGTAGTTTTCTGGTGGCGTCTTTAGGATTTTCCATGTATAGCACCATGTCATCGGCAAACAGTGACAGTTTTACTTCTTCTTTTCCAATTTCTATTCCTTTAATTTTCTTTCTTCTCTGATTGCTGTGGCTAGGACTTCCAAAACTATGTTGAATAAGAGTGGTGAGAGTCGACATCCTTCTCTTTTTCCTGATCTTATTGGAAATACTTTCAGTTTTTCACCATTGAGTATGATGCTTGCTGTCGGTTTGTCATATATGGCCTTTATTATATTGAGGTAAGTTCCCTCTATGCCTATTTTCTGGAGACTTTTTATCATAAATTGGTGTTGAATTTTGTCAAAATCCATTTCTGCATCTATTGAGGTGATCATATAGTTTTTATTCCTTAATTTGTTAATGTGGTGTATTACATTGATTGATTTGTGTATATTGAAGAATCCTTGCATCACTGGGATAAATCCCACTTGATCCTGGTGTGTGATCCTTTTAATGTGCTGTTGGATTCTGTTTGCTAGTATTTTGTTCAGGATTTTTGTATCTATGTTCATCAGTGATATTAGCCTGTAATTTTTTGTGTGTGAGATATCTTTTTCTGGTTTGGGTATTAGGGTGATGGTGGCTTCATAGAATGAATTTGGGAGTGTTTCTCTCTTTGCAATTTTTTGGAAGAGTTTCAGAAGGATCAGTGTTAGCTCTTCTCTAAATGTTTGATAGAATTCACCTGTGAAGCCATCTGGTCCTTGACTTTTCTTTGTTGGAAGATATTAAATTACCATTTCTATTTCATTACTTGTATTAGGTTTGTTTAGATTTTCTAATTCTTCCTGGTTCAGTCTTGGAAAATTGTACCTTTCCAAGAATTTGTCCATTTCTTCGTGGTTGTCTATTTTATTGGCATATAGTTGTTTGTAGTAGTCTCTTATAATCCTTTGTATTCCTGCAGTGTCAGTTGTAATTTCTCCTTTTTCTTTTCTAATTTTATTGATTTGCATCCTCTCACTTTTTTTCTTGATGAGTCTGTCTAAGGGTTTATCAATTTTGTTTATCTTCTCAAAGAACCAGCTTTTAGTTTTATTGATCTTTGGTATTGTTTTCTTCATTTCTATTTCATTTATTTCTGCTCTTATCTTTATGATTTCTTTCCTTCTAATGACTTTGGGTTTTCTTTGTTCTTCTTTCTCTAGCTGTTTTAAGTGTAGGGTTAGATTGTTTATTTGAGATTTTTCTTGTTTCTTCAGGTGTGATTGAATTGGTATAAACTTCCTTCTTAGAACTGCTTTTGCTGCATCCCATAGGTTTTGGGTTGTCCATTTTCGTTGTTATTTGTCTCTAGGTATTTTTTTATTTCTTCTTTGATTTCTTCAGTGATCTCTTGGTTATTTAGTAGTACAGTGTTTAGTCTCCATGTATTTGTGTTTTTTACAGTTTTTTTCCTGTAATTGATTTCCAATCTCATAATGTTGCTATCAGAAAAGATGCTTGATATGATTTCGATTTTCTTAAATTTTCTGAGGCTTGATTTGTGACCCAAGATGTGATCTATCCTGGGTAATGTTCTGTGTGCATTTGAGAAGAAAATGTAATCTTCTGTTTTCGGATGGAATGTCATATAAATATCAATGAAATCTATCTGTTCTATTGTGTCACTTAAAGCTTCTGTTTCCTTATTAATTTGATGATCTGTCCATTGGTGTAAGTGAGGTGTTAAAGTCCCCCACTATTACTGTGTTACTGTCCATTTTCTCTTTTATAGCTGTTAGCATTTGCCTTGTGTATTGAGGTGTCCCAATATTGGGTGCATATATATTTATAATTGTCATATCTTCTTCTTGGATTCAACCCTTGATCATTATGTAGTGTCCTTCCTTGTCTCTTGTAACATTATTTTAAAGTCTATTTTATCTGATATGAGTACTGCTACTCCAACTTTCTTGATTTCCATTTGCATGGAATATCTTTTTCCATCCCCTCACTTTCAGTCTGTATGTGTCTGTCCCTAGGTCTGAAGTGGGTCTCTTGTAGACAGCATGTATGTGGGTTTTGTTTTTGTATCCATTCAGCAAGCCTGTGTCTTTTGGTTGGAGCATTTAATCCATTCATATTTAAGGTAATTATCAATATGTATGTTCCTATTATCATTTTCTTAATTGTTTTGAGTTTCTTTTTGCACGTCCTTTTCTTCTATTGTGTTTCCCACTTAGAGAAGTTCCTTTAGCATTTGTTCCTTTAGATGGTTTGGTGGTGCTGAATTCTCTTAGTTTTTGCTTATCTGTAAAGCTTTTGATTTCTCTGTCCAATCTGAATGAGATCCTTGCCAGGTAGAGTCATCTTGATTGTAGGTTCTTCCATTTCATCAC